TTTTCTTCTTCTCTCTAAATCAGCAATTAAAGTACTTACATGCATTATGATTATTATTACAATTTTGATTAATTACAAAAGAGTCATCTCAGAATGAAGTATCTTTTTAATCAATCTTTTTATTCATTATGTTTAGCTTGTATTTAGGTTTTTCACACCAATTAACCAATGTATCGGTTATTACAGAATTTTGAAATCACAATTATAGGCATGTATTTTCTGAGGAGAGGGTGGTGTTGACTTTTTGTGACTGCTTTTATTTGTGTTTGCGATGGGATTTCATTTCTTTCATTACCCATTGTCGGTTTAATTCAAAACTGTATGAGTTTTAGAGCTCAATAAGTAATAAGTCTTATTTAGGTATCAACAAAAGCTTATACTCTGAACATAATTGTTTAAATATAAGGCTATACTATTTACAATTGCTATACAATTTCTTTTTGGAGCATTTTTTGGGTACTAAAGTTCTTGCTAGATGTTAACCCAATTAAGCCATGCGTAAACAATTTTCAATATTATTATTCTACTCAAAGAAAAGAACGGGGTGATTTTTTTCCTATTTGTATACCTTTTTTCCTGTGTTTGGTACTAAATTTGTCATTACAGGAAATATATATTTTTGAAGTCATTGCCAATTTTCATGAGTTCGGCTCATGGTCAATTTTAGTTGAATTGCCCACATTCAAATGTATACAATTCTTTAAAATCATATTGATTTTATTTTGGCATGTATTCTTTGGTAGCAAAAATACACCCATCACATTAGGTAATTAAGCTAAGGGTAATTGCTGGTAAATTTTCGAATTCTCTGGTGTGCAAGTTTTATATAATCTCTCTATCTTTTATGAGGGAAAAGGTTAAACAAATACCTACAGTCTTCTCAGAAAATACATAGTGCATGTACAGTGTAAGTTTAACTTAAATAATTGATATTCCTGCTATAGGCAGTTTAAGACTTTTCAACTGATATCTTGTCATGATCTTGGTTTTTGATAATTAATCGGTAGTGTTAATAGTTTAGCATGGGTTGAGTTACTGAGAGGGCACTGATGTCATGGGGGGGGGGGCTGCTGCTCTTATTAATTGAATTAATTGTTTAGACAGATAACTGGAATCTCAAGTTGGAGCATATGTGGGAGGGGTCGATCATGTTGCATTCCTTTACTTTTCTTTTCACTCCTTGATGGGATGTCACATATCATTTCAGATACCCCCCCCCCCCCCTATAGGTATTCCTCTCAAGCAAATCAATCGATAGAGGAATGTGTAATTGGGTTAGTTCAGCAATTACATAATGATGCCTTTTGTCTCAAATTTTCAGACTTGTTGGATTGGATAGGAAAGGATCTTAAAGTAGTGTAGTTATTTTGGCTCTATGTTCTCCAGTTTCGCTCTGATGAGTGCGAGGTTATGTCTTTTGTATGTCTTTTTTGAGAGGCATGTGCATTAGTCTTTTCTCTCTTTCATAGTATCAACTTGTATTGACATCTTTATATTAATTGCAATCATGAGATGTGTAATAACGAGTACATTTGTAGGTTCTATTATAATTTGTTTTTTTCTTTGGTGATGGATCCTTTCTCTGAATGCAATTTGTACTTTATTTGCCTGTATAAACATCTATGTGTTTTTACATTTGTTGTTGTTCAGCTACCCTAAATACCCGACGTTATATTATTACCAAGAATGTGTTTCTTCTAACAATATTGACAGAAGAATTATATCTTTAATAAACGATTTTATCAGTATTGTACTACATGTACTTCAAACTGGATGAGATTTATTCTTTTGCAATTTCATGTCTTTGAATTGTTCGTTTGTGCCATTAAGTCAGTGTAGACAGACGCGGATCCACGTGGCGATTTTTCCGGCCCTGCTCCCCCCACCCTCTAGTCTAAAAAAAAATGTTTAAAAAAATAGGATAATAACGTAAATTTAACCTTTTTTTAAAAAAAAACAAAAGCGGCGCCCAAATTTTTTTAAAAAAATTTCGCCCACACCAAAACAAAATATTACACCCCCCCCCCCCTGCGTATTCACCGACTGGATGACGCTGCTAAATATTTTCTCACGAAGTGGGCCCAATATATTTAAAAAATATATATGTGCTCTTACCCCCCCCCCCCCCCCCGCTTGTTCACAGCCGGCTGAGTCGGCGCTAAATTTTTCCTCTAAAACTGTACCCCCCCAAAAAAAATGTGCTTCTACACCCAGCCCCCCCCCCCCCCGCGTTTTTTTCATTTTTCACCGGCCGGCTTAGTCGGCGCTAAATTGTTTTCTCAAGATTTGCCCCCCCCCCCTCTTTTCGCCGGCTGGATCCGGCCCTGAGTGTAGACGCCACATACTTTAAGTATAATGGCTGCCAGCTGTGCCTTGGTGTGATTAAGAGAGACTTGATGTGAAATGGGTTGTTGAGATTTGGAGAGGGGAGTCCTGGTCCATCATATTACGAGAAACCGGTAGGCGCCGCTAAAGTAAAGTAAAAATATTTGGACTAAGGGCTGTGAGATTCCGAGAAAAGTAAAACATCTGCTCAGAGCTAGATTATATTCTGGATCTCCACAGAAACATGATAGCTGTTCAAAACACATCGGTGTTCTCTACTCTATGTCGCAAATTGGGAACTAGAAGGGCATTGATATAACCCTGTGATTTCACTGCATGTCATGAAAACCCTCTTATGTAACAACAAAATAAAAAAACTATATTCTAGGGCCAAAATTGTCAAGCTTTTCATTACAATGCTGCCCCTCATCACTCATACAATGTACATTTTATAAACTGATGCACAATATTTTGTCAAATACTATTTTTCACATTTTCCTGCAATGCCCCGTTAAAATTAAAATTACATCTATGATTTAAGACATTCAATATATCTTACTAAGGCAATTCTACTGAATGTATGGGCATGGCTAAATTTTATTTTCAATAATCTATAATCATTTTTTGTAATTCTCCTTGATAAATTTCCTAAATTGTTACACGGTTTTAATATAGTTTGTAGATAATCCGTCTTATATTTAAAAGGGGTTAGTGGCTACAATTAGAAGCCTCCATTGACAAAACATGGCACACATATTAAGAACAATGCGCTATTTAGGCACATTTTCCGTTTAGGGACAAACATTTGAATCCAATCAGTTGTAAGACCAATTTGAAAGAAGGTTGAATGCACACGAAAGGAATCTAGCTGAAAGAAACCTCTATATTGACCAGAAAAAAAGCTGACATAAAAGTAAAGTGCAATATTATTAGGTACGTCGATACGAGGATAAAAGCGAGGGCGCTCTTCAAAATAGATTAGGTTAATTAATTTTTAAAATATGTTTTTAATGTAACCGTGTTTCAAAAATTGATTCTAAAAATATGTAATGGCATGAACTATCACTCTACAAAGTTTGAATCATCAATTTAAAGCGCAAGACAAAAAGTTGAACAAAGTACCTAAACAGGACAATAACACCATCTCGAACTGTAAACCTTCGTACATACACATTTTTCCATTCAGGATGGATCCCATTCGTGACAGATTGTGTGGAAATCGATTTACACGTCGTGTATTTTACATGCAGGAATGGGTGTATCACGCCGTTTAATTACGTTTAATTAAAGGTAGAATTTGCGTAGCAATTAGACGAATTCAGATTTTTTCCCCTGCCATTTATTTATTATGCAGTTCATATGCAAAGTTGAACCTAATACGTTTTTATGTCTTTCCATAATACTTAGTGTAAAACTAACAAAGTTATACACATTATGTGGTGAATATTCTAACACAAGAAATCTATAGAAGATTATAGCTGCAATATGTGACAAATAGATGTAAGAGCTGTTGTGTGTGTAGGGCTTGCCACTGCTTAGTGTGTATAATATGAAACTATTTAAGTTGTATGATTATTGGATATCACGATATTAACAATGTTTATGTATACCCATTTCATGTTAAATAAATCATTCGCATAATAGGAATTTATTTAATCCTGCAGTCGTTTTAGAACAATCAAACCTTGGTATTCATCTATATGGTATAGATTTGGGCTTTTTTGGTTTACCTTGCATATGTTATTATTCATTATCTCCATATGTTTTCTTTTAATGCACCCCCTCAATAAACTTTATTTTCAGCACAATTAACTTTGAGGTATATATGCTATTATGTTTCTTGTAAATTGATCCTCAGCATGAGTGTTCAAGCGGCATTAAATCTGGGGCGATGAATTGTAGTTCCGCTATTCAATTTTGTTTTTAAATACATACAAAGTTTTAATTTGAAAAATATATATTCAATGTCTGATCTGGCGAGAGCATAATGTAACCAAAACTGTCAAATGGTGCGAACTGAATTGACTCAGTGACATAAAAGCTCTAAGCCTCAAACATATGGTTTATTATCATTATTGTAAGTTTTTATTGTTGTTATTATTATCATTATTATTACTATTATTATTATTATCGTCATCATCATATATTCATTATCAGTGTTTCTCTAGCTATATACTGACCTTAGTTTCACAGTATAGTCTAATTGAGCTGTACGTACCTCTGCACCATCTAACATTCTTCTGAATTCGACTTAATTGGCTTATGAAGATAATTATTTCCCTTTGAAACAGAACTTTAACAAACAAAACTGCCTACAACTTAAATGACAACGTGATCGACACAAATTAGCAGTCATTGACAATTGCGGATCTTTTCTTTAAGAACAGCCTACCAAGGGTAGCGACTGAATAGTCTTGTTCAAGACTCAAATGCACCAGAAGTCTTAAGAGACTCGAATATATCCGCAGCATTGAACTCAGAATCGAATAAATATAACAAATTTGTTATTTATAACACATCTAATTAAGAATTCAATCTGCGATAGAAGTAAAAATCCGTTTCATAAAACAAATAACAAGTTTATATAGTCAATAATATGTATTGATAGTTCGCGAACGAGTCTAATTGCGCTGTCGCGCTCGCTCTATTTCTAGCGCGCGCCTATATCCAACTAACAACGACCTTATCTGTGACAACAGTAACACTAACAGCTAGGCAACTTCGGTGCTGGACACGGTTATCTGTAGAAATCCTGTAAGTACATGTCATATTTATTCCGTAATTTCGTATTCATAAGGTGATATTTATGTGTTTTTTGATATTTGAATACTTTCCGGAGGTTAAACAAAGATTGATCCTGAGAGTTAGAGCTCGTGTGCCGGGGCGAGTGCATGAGTAGGCCTAAGTTAGACGGATCTAATTAAATTGCCCAATTTCAGGCGCGACCTGAGAGCGGAAGCTGCATGTAGTGCCCGCCCTAGAACTCCCGGGCATTTTCGCAACAGACCCTACGGCCTACTGTCTACTGAACACACATAGTCTAGCTGCATAATAATAATAAATAATATTTAATTTTTATATAGGTCTAGTCTAGATCTAAGAAGGGAGATCCCGGGTTCGACCCGAACCCAGGCGGATGACTGAAGTGTGTTAACGTTCCCCTTCCCTTGTTCATAGGCGCAGGTTATGTCAAGTGGAAAACAGGATAGGACGTTAAATGGAGGCCCCGTGTACAGGAGAGTCACCACCCTTGCAAAGAACCATTTCATTGCACTATTCGTAGCTATAAATTATAGCTAGAGGTCTAGTAAGTAGTGAAATCTAGACCCTAGTGTAATGGTCCACATGCACACCCCAATCAGGCCTAGTACTAAAGTATAGACTCTATGGCAATGGTATAGATTCTAGGGCAGGCATCTTGAAGAATCTTCAGTATTGAAGGAGGCCGGAGGCAGATTATCTTGAAGAAGAAGGATAGTAGATCTAATAATATTTAGGGTCTATATAGACCTTCTAGATTCTACTTGTTGTAAAGCGCTTAGGCCTAAAGTAAAGGCGCTGAGAGACATTTGTATTAAGCGCTATTCTAGTAGACGTGACCTAGATCTATATCTCCATGTTTGCTTCGACAGGCAGACGCTTTACTAACTGAGCAAACTCGCCTCCTGCGTCCTGGCTGTGTATTAAAAGCTGTGCTATTGATTCTCAACATTTCACACAGCACTGTACAAAACTCAGCTGATTTCACTCAAAATGTGTACTTTACTTAGATCTAGTGACAATTGATGACACCTAGAGGTCTACTACTACTAGATCTAGTCTAGTACTAGTCTAGAAAAAATGAATATTCATCATCTAAAAACCAGGTGGCTGACAACGAATCGTGTTGACTACAAGACTTTCTCGGATTAATCATTATCCCCTAGCAACGAAGTCGGAGGGGATATACATGTAGAAACACTGCCGTCCGCCCTTCCGTGCGTCCGTGCGTGCGTCCGTAACAATTTTGGATTCCGATCAATAACTTCGGTAATGTTTGACGGATTTTAATGAAATTTGATATGAAGGTACATGATATCAAAATACAGGCTAAGTTTAATTTCCGAGTATGTAGGTGAAAGGTGAAAGGTCATATATAGTAATATAATAGTATAGTCCAATGGAGTTAACTTGTTCTGATGTACATGTATATAGGCCATTTGTACCCTGCGAGGGGATGCTACGCTTTGCGTTGACTTGTTAATGTAGGATCTAAATGAGCAAGCTATCGTAAGTCAAAGTAGATATTTCTTTGTTATTTTTTATTTGTTAATATAGTCAAATGTAATTTTACAGCCAAAGTGAATATATGAGGATGTAAAGAGTAAAAATCTTGTTGCATATCTCATTCATCGCGGTCCTGCTGAACCAAACCATTTGTTCCACTCAGTCACCATAGGACGTACTTCAGTCTATGTATAGAGGCGGTCAGATGAGCCAGATGCAATTTCAGCAGAACAACCGTCGATATCAGAGACTGAAGCTTTCGGTCTATATCAGTCTATACTTTGCTGGAGTGGTATACTGTAGTAGTAGATCTACTGTCATTCGTTGCTGTTATCCGGACTTGGCTGTCGGATTTAATAAATTTAGAATTGAAAATTCCATTTTTATTTCAAGGGCAGGCTAAGCTGTAAGCAGCCAAAACAACAACTCCTGCAATAAACTGCAAACCCCCAAACAGTGTTTAGATTTCACTAACTCCATGCTATACATGTACATGCTTCAGAGAACTCCGCCTACAGCCTCCGAAGGGCTTCGGTGACGGAGCTCCCTGGAGTAAAGATTTCACTAGACTTTAGTTAAGTTAGAATTAAAATAGAAATGTAAATAATCTAGAGTCTAGTCGGTAGACAGTAGGAGGACTAGGAGGCAAATTGGCTCAGTCGGTAAAGCGTCTGCCTGTCGGCCCAAAGATCTTGGGTTCGAATCGCACCCAGGCGGATGACTGAAGCAAGCGTTGTGTGTTAACGTGCCCCTCCCCTTGTTGTTTCATAGACGCAGGCTATGTTACATGGAAAACAATCTGTCTCGGATAGGATGTTAAAAGGAGACCCCGTGTACAGGATAATCACTACCCTTGCACGTTAAGAACCCACGGCACTATTCGTATAAGAATAGGGGGGAAACCTGATGTAGTAGTCTACCTGCACACCCCACTCAGGCCGAATATATATATATATACATGAATATACGGCATCTGCAAGAATCTTCAGTACCGGTATTGAAGGATAGGAGGCAGATTATCTTCAAGAAGGAGAAGAAGTATACTGCACTCTGCAGTGTAGTGTAATCTAGTGCCTAGTCATGCTAGTGGTTTCTAAATTTACTCTAGAGTATTGATCTTTTTTTGGCGCAGTCTTGACTCTATGTCTCTTAGTTTACGTCAAGACTCTGTCTCTACTCTCAGTCTTTAGACTGCAAACATTGTAGCAGTGACTGTTGTTTTCAGTCACTTAGTCTGAATGTGAACCTAGCTATTTTAAGAATAAATTTTCCCCCTCTCTTTTACAGGAAATATACAGAGTGTATTACCATATGCTTGCTTCTTTGAGTATGTGCCTGAAACAAGAATGTCCTGGAGAAAAAGGACCACAACAAGAAAAGGTAATTTTTTTTTTTTTTTTTTTTTAACTTGGACTTTTTAAAACTTCACCTGTTTAGTTAGTCAAGTAAAAGGAAATTTTTAAATGGGTGAGGGCATTAAATAAGGCCAAGTTGGAGGGGTATGCAAAGGGCTGGTATGAGAAGTATCGATTCAGGGGTGGCTACATGGTATGTGTGCAACAAGATGTCTACTAACAAGTTGCTGTAGTGTTTATTTATAGTGTATTTTAACTTCCAATATATATATTTTTTTATAATTAACATTTGAAGGCCTTGAAGAAGGGATGGGGGGGGAGGGGGGGGGGGGGGAGTCCTATACACCAAACAGAATGACAAGCAAAAAGAAAATAATTGACCTTCATATTTTGCTGAAAAAGAAAGTAAACATTGAAGACAATTGAAGAAAAAAAAATAATGCAATTTTTGTGTATTCTTATATATTTGGTTAATATTTATTGAATATTTTTATAATTCTGTTCCAGAGATGGAGAGGAAGGGCTTGCTGTTGAGAGATCATGGGGTGCCTTGAGGTTCCACTTCCAGTCTTGATGTTCTGCCCCTTACCTCTAAGCGATGGCCTCTTGTGCCTGGCAATATATGAGCGAAGCACAATGGACTGGTAATTCATAATGCATATTACAATGTTTTTTTAACAAATCAGGGAAAGAAACAGAGATAAATTCATAGCATATGAGTCTGTCATGGCATTTTTAGTAACTCAACATTTGCTCCTGCAACGACTACTCTAGGCTTTATTTTGTCAAAGGTGTAGGGTTAGACTGAGGGTTGGAATTGTGATTAAGGTGGTTTAGGTTTAGGGTTAGGCCTAGGGATGAAGTTTAATAGTGTAGAAAAATTATGTGAAGCAATTGTCTCAGGAGAAGGTGTTGTACAACTTGATTTTCCAGGTGCTGGTGGAGCTGCATGTATCTTTTACTCATCAATGGTAGTTTTAAAATCTTCCTCTGTATTGTGAAAGCAGAAACATGATGTAGAGTGGAAGAGAAAAAAGTATGTAACACAGTATCATTTAAAATAGATTTTATAAAGTAAAAACACACTGGCCTGCAGTTTGTGAAACATGTAGCACTGTATTACCAATTAAAAGAATTCAGCGATTTTTACAACGTGCTCTATTGGCATTTATGTACTGGTTATGTTGTAACACAAAATGAATTCTTAACTTTAATCCTGGATCCATTGCTAAACATAATGTCAACCCTAAATGTATTAAACATTGCCAGACCCAATTTCGGGCTACCCTAAATCCCTTTCTACATACCAGTATTGTTCAAAGTTTATATTTATTACACCCTTACTGCGAGTTCTAGAAATTCTGCAAGAACCCTACCCTGCTGTTCACTTTATAATTAGTACTTCACATTGCTTTCATGAACATGCCGTAAAAGTGAATTTATTTTATGTCTCTATACAAACAGGTGCCTGTACATGTAATGTATTTCATGCAAATGAAGAGTAGAATGAGAAGCTCACAATGATATGGTAGACAAGGACCTTGCTGTCTAAAGCTCGGAGGCCAGATGACAGTGTCTGAAGTAAGTCGCCCCATAGAAGAGCGAGAACTTTCTGTTGCAATTGTTAACATGCAACACATCCTTACCACATGCAACCCATCCCACTTTCACAATATATTTTCTTAACAACAGTAACCCAAGTTCAACGTTTGGATTGGTGATTTTAAACATAAAAACAATGGTCTGAATGTTTAATTAGATCTTTTACGCAAACGTAGTATATTAGTAATGAAAGGCATGTTTGGTAATACAGTAATTTCATTTCAGACCATGAAGACCATGTATTATTATAATTATCTGGGATCTGTCGTTGGGCTGATAAGCATGGAAAATAAGGAATGTACTCCTGTCGAACGAACAATATGTTTTTATAAAACGAATAACTCTTTGAAGATTACTTACTAGAAGAAGTAGAACAAGAAGAAAAAGAAGAAGAAATACACTGATGATGTCAGCTTGACTTCCTAAAGTTGTATACTATTTGAAAATAGTTTATATTTTATTCATGAACAGCCGGCTTGTCGGAATTGCGTACAAGGATGCCATTGGACTTTTCTGTACTAGTAGCTGAAGGGGGGAGCAGTCACCAGAAGGAGCATGCAACTCCAAAACAATGTGGATACTTCTACCGAGTTCATCTCAAGAATCAAGATGTGACAGTGGATGTACATGTAGAGGGGTTTGTGACCCTCCTGACTGGACTACATGCAATACACATCAATGGATTGTAGAGGAGTAATGGTGGGTCCGGTGAGCTCAACTCTGGAGGTTAAGTTCGCAAAATTAATAAATTTCCTTTTAATATGGGTGTATATGGTTCCAGGGATTAATTTGACGCAATGCCTCGTAGTGACACGCCCTATTAACCCTATTTTAACTGGGCTATTTCAGACCAGGTTTTTACTGGGGGGGGGGGGGGGGTCAATTTGACCCCCCCTTAAGATCTCGGCCGTTTCACCGCCGATCGCCGCGAAAATTTGCATGCATGTCAAGTAAAGTGTATAGAATACTATGGTAATTTCAAATTTTTGAAAAATTCACTCATTTGCATAATTATGGTAATTTATGCAAATAAGGTCATAAAATTCACATTTCGGCCCATAAATCATAGATTATTCATATTTAAGTATTCTTTATCACTACATATATTTATTAGACCATTTGGAATAATAATACAACACAAAAAATTGGAAGAGCCAGGTTATTCCTTATGTTATCTCTTGTTTTTATAATTTCTTATGTATTTCATTGGTTTTTAACTTATGTATTTTATTGTTTTTGTTGTTTTATTTCATTTATATCTACAATTCAACTATTTTGACCCCAAAACAAACATCTAAACTTTAAACAAGACTGAATAACCAATGTTTTATCTATTTTTAGGAGAAATGACTTTTACATATGTTTTGTACACAAATCACGAAAATGAGCGATTTTCGGGCTGACATGCAAAGACAAAAGGTCACGCGACCTTGTAATCGTAGGTCCGATTTTCAAAAAAATCGTTTTAAAAGATGCGTAAGACTCGAAAGTAAAAAGTCAGGAGAGGAAAATTTTATATCTGCAGCGGTTTCGGAGTAGTCGCGAAATTTCTACAGGGGGGGGGGTCAAATTGACCCCCCCCCCCCAGTTAACGTAGGGTTAAGGGGCAACACACGTGTCAGAAGGTATAAAATGGGAAGCAGTTCCTGAATTGGCACGAGCTTTTACTTTTCGGATGACTTCCTCATTTTGTTTCATACCTTATTTCCTTTGCCGCCATGAGGTGCTAAAGTTTTAGCAGAGTTGGGGGCTTCCAGCCCATAGATGTGACTTTTCATGATTATATGTAATAAATTGTAATAAAGTTACTATCCACTTCAACACTTGACTCTTGTCGGGAATTTTATTTCTTTGTGTGGACTTTGTTCTTCTCTGGAACGCGATTTGGGCAGTGTGATAGGCGGCCATCGGCCACTCAGTTGCCGGGGCTGTTTCATATATAAAGAATGTGTGAAGACAAGCAACTGCATTATAAGCTCAGCATGATCAGTAACATTGATTCCTTTTATGAGGAAATTTAAATTTTTGTTCCTCCCAACCATGAGTTGTACATATTCTTTGATTCGGGGAGAGGTTGGTGAAGAGGGATAGGTGCCCCATATTTTGTATTGTAACAGGTTTTGTTTTCTACATAAGGAGACAAGGATAATATAGTAATATATCACCTATATCAACACGATGAGCAAGAGCACGTCGATTTAACCTTTTGGGGGAGATGCCCCGCCCCCCCCTTGAGCACCAAGGGGGGGGGGGGAATTAAGAGGCCCCCCCCAAAAAAAAAAAAAAAAAAAAATGTGCTCACTACCCCACTAAGGGGAGGTTAAAGGGGGAACAAAAAGTAGAGGAAAGCGAGAGGAACGGTGGAGCTGTGAGAACGAGGTAAGAGACGGGCAGTGGCGGATCTGGGTGGGGGGGGGGGGGGGGCCCCCTTCGAAAATAAAAATGTAAAAACACGTTAATTTTACCCCACGCCCCCCCCCCCCCACGCCCCCCCCCCTGCCGCTCAAGGGGGGGGGGGGCAAAATTTAGAGGGCCCCCCCCAAAAAAAAGTGCTCACTACCCCACTAAGGGGAGGTTAAAGGGGGAACAATAAGTAGAGGAAAGCGAGAGGAACGGTGGAGCTGAGAGAGCGAGGTAAGAGAGGGGCAGTGGCGGATCTGGGTGGGGGGGGGGCCCCCTTCGAAAATAATAATGTAAAAACACGTTAATTTTACCCTACCCCCCCCCTGCCGCTCAAGGGGGGGGGCAAAATTTAGAGGGCCCCCCCAAAAAAAAAAATGTGCTCACTACCCCACTAAGGGGAGGTTAAAGGGGGAACAATAAGTAGAGGAAAGCGAGAGGAACGGTGGAGCTGAGAGAGCGAGGTAAGAGAGGGGCAGTGGCGGATCTGGGTGGGGGGGGGGGGGGGAAGGGCCCCCTTCGAAAATAAAAATGTAAAAACACGTTAATTTTACCTTACCCCCCCCCACGCCCCCCCCCCCTGCCGCTCAAGGGGGGGGGGGGGCAAAATTTAGAGGGCCCTCCCCCCCCAAAAAAAATGTGCTCACTACCCCACTAAGGGGAGGTTAAAGGGGGAACAAAAAGTAGAGGAAACAGAGAGGAACGGTGGAGCTGAGAGAGCGATGTAAGAGAGGGGCAGTGGCGGATCGGGGGGGGGCCGTCCCCCCCCCCCCCCTTCAAAAATAAAACGTGTAAAAACACGTTAATTTTACCTTTTTGGGGAGATTCCCCCCCCCCCCCCTGGCGCTCAAGGGGGAGGGGGGGGGGGATGCAAATTTTAGAGGGCTTCCCCCCAAAAAAATGTGCTCACTACTACCCGCCCCCCCCCCCCCCCCCCCCCAACCCCCCACTGAGCACATTTTCGGCTGGCGCGATTTTCAAATTTCCGGGAGCAAAAAGAAAAAAAATTGGGCCCCCACCCCTAAGAAATCCTGGATCCGCGCCTTGAGAGGGGAAGCAGGGAGAATGGGGGTTCGAGAGAGGGACCAACATTAATAAGACGCGGAGAAAAGGGAGCGGAGGTGGGGAGAAGATGAAAGGGGGCATTCTTTTGGATTTAAGAGGGCGGCCGGCCGGGTAAGGGAATAAGGGCGCATACTCCGTGGAGCGTTTAGGAAATGAGGGGAAATAAGAAGAGCTAGCGCAGGATAGTGAAGGGAAAGAGAGAGGGAGAAAGAGCGCGTGCGGGGTGGAGGGAAGGAAGATTGAGGAGGGGGGGGGGGCGGGTGGCGGAATAAGCAGGCCGACTGGAGAATGAGTTGATGAAGGTTTGGGAAAAGGGAGTGAAGGAACTAGGGGAAAGGATTGGATAAACTGGGATTAACGGATAAGAGCGAATTAAAGGTAGAAGACGAAAGTTGGAGGAGAATGAGGAAGGAGAGAATGAAAGGGGAGATAAGAACGAAGGAGAGAGTGGTAAACAGAGAGCTAGAGAAGGGAAGCGGTAAGGCAAGGGGAGGAGGGGAGGGATGAGCAAGCAAACCGGCGGAAGAACGAGTTTAGAGAGGATGGGGGAAAGATGATTGGGTTTACGGCGAAGAGAGGGAAATGGCTGAAGGGGTGCATGGGGGGTGGGGGGGGGGGGCAGGGGAAAATCAAAGGAGAATGGGGATGAGGGATCGAGAGAATAGAAGGGGACGGGGAAAGAAGGAGAGACACTATAATACTCAGGTGATAAAGAGGAACAGTGCGTTACTGTGGCTACCGTAATCTGGATAACATTTAAGTAAGAGGTAATAGTCTACTCACAAGACGATTTTATGTTAATCGAGGGTCTATAAATAGGGGTAATATCAATGTATAGCTCTTTTAAAATGTTATACAATCGGCCTATGAACAAATGAAACTCCTAACTTCACTACAACCTTTGTTTTGGTGATCAATTGGTACTCTTTACCGCTAGGTTCTTTTAAAGCTATGATCTTGCTTAATTCGTTGTTTATGCATGCATGAAGCATTGCCCCTACCCCCCTAAAAATATTTAAAAAAGTGAATTAAAAAAAGTTATGTCAGTGCCAACAAAATCTAAATCAATAAGTGAACATTAAACAACATGAACAACTTACACAGAGGAGCATGCACGCGTTTTATTTTATATCATTTATATTTTCATTGCCCATGCGATTAAAAATAGGTAAAGTCTGGAGTAAAGAAAACTCATCAGACCAGTGTACTATCAGGGCGCACAAATTACTCAATCCTACAGTTCACTACTGTTCTATAAATCTAACCTAGGTGACAATAGTTCCAGTTCATTACCAGAACAACTTTGTCACCTGGGTTTCAGATTACATATTCTGCTCTGATATTACTGAGCAACTTTGGGTAATCTGCTTCGATACTTTACTGTAACTGTATTGGTATCGGGTGAAGATATTGGGAAGAGAATATGTACAGTTCATGAAAGAGGTCTAGAAAGAACAAAGAGGGGGGGGGGGCAAAAGAGAGGATACGTTCGTTGTATTTTAGCTGCGCTTGACTTTTTTCAGTGTACAGAATATTGTTTGCTGTTTTATTTGTATGCTGTTATTATGGTTAAAATAAAAATCTAAGGATATCTCCGAAAACGCTTAAAAAAGGGGAAATACGCTTAAGCTGGTATTTCTGAAATATGAAATTTAAAGCTGCTTATACAAATTAGGCAAGACAATTTGTTGACAAAATATTTTTATCAACTTTTAATGAATCTGTCAATTAAAGGTAATACTAAGTTTTGGGAAATTTTGAAAATTGGGTGGATAGTGATTCTTTACAATTTTGATGTATTTGGATGCCCCTGTGGAGGTATTATAAGCACTAAAAAAATTAGCCCCTAAAACACTTCTGCTTTCGAGAAAAATTGAATATAAAAATTTACCGGTGT